CGGGGGTTTTGTAGACGGGACAGTACAGAATTTGTAGAAGGGGCAGGACAGAGGTTTTGTAGGAGGGGCCGGGCAGGACAAGGGTTTTGTAGGAGGGGCTCACAGCAGTTTTGCAAAGTTTACAAATTGTAAAAAAAAAAAAAGAAAACCTTTTTACATTTTTTTTACAGGTTTTTTTTTTTGGGTGGTGATGCCAAGCACAGGATCCGCCCCGGGTGCCAAATGCTCTAGGTACGCCCCTGTATATATATATATATATATATATATATATATATATATATATATATATATATATATATATATATATATCACAAGCAAAAAAATACAGACACTCCAGAGTTTAGTCTTTCAATCTTCCTTTATTTTAAGGTATCCACTGGTCGACGTTTCAGCTCCAAAACAGGGCTTTGGGAGCTTAAACGTCAACCAGTGGATACCTTTAAAATAAAGGAAGATTGAAAGACTAAAAACCCTGGAGTGCTAGTATTTTTTTGCTCGTACACTTGATGTGACCAGAGCACCAGGTAATAAATTATTTTTTTATGTTGGAGTGCAGGAGTTTTGAGGAACGTATGTAAAATATATATATACATATATATATATATCTCTATATGTGTGTATGTGTCGGTGTATTTATATGAATATCTGTGTAAGGATGTATGTATGTGGTAGTGTATGTGCATACATCCAACCAGTCAAACACCAGCACAACATACAAACCCACCCCTGCATTCATACAAAAAATAAAAAAAATACAAACACACCCCTTCACTCAAACACAAATACTCTCTACAAATGTACATCCACATTTAAAAGTGAACACTACATTCAGACACACCCCTGCAATACATATGACAGCGTGTTCCAGGTCCTGCCAATATCCAGCAACTTTGCACAGCCATTAAAGAGGAGTGGACCAACATTCCACAGGCCACAATCAACAAGCTGATCAACTCTGTGAAGGAGATGTGTTGCACCGCATGAGGCAAATGGTGGTGACACTAGATACTGAATGTTTTTCAGATCCCTTCCCCAATACAGTAAAACTGCACATTTTAGAGTGGCCTTTTATTGTGGCCAGCCTAAGACAATAATCATGCTGTCTATTCAGCACTTGATATGCCACACCTGTGAGGTGGATTATCTCGGCAAAGGAGAAGTGCTCACTAACACAGATTTGTGAACAATATTTGAGAGAAATAGGCCTTTTGAATGCATAGAAGTCTTAGATCTTTGAGTTCAACTCATGAAAAATGGGGGCAAAAACAAGTGTTGAGTTTATAAATTTTGTTCAGTGTATATACAAGCAGCCCTTCATACACCAACACTGTACATTACACTATAGCGCCAGTAAATCCCGCAGAGCTGTACAGATATGCAACCTAGAAAAACAGGAGGACTGTTGCACTTATAATGGAAGATTCAGAGGACCATCATCACAGCTGACTGAGGAAGCTCTATTGAGAGTGAAACGCGTATTGGCCATTTTAAAGGACTTTTTTTTACCATTTATATTTTTTATTATTATTGTATATCAATAAATTTGTTATTTTATTCAAGATATCCTGCTCAAATCCTTTTTGGAGCCTCTAGGAATCTTCATATGGGTAGTGCCATCCCTATTTAAATTGGCACCACATCTATATACCTTAGAGCCAGTCCCATAGGCTCAGGCCCAGGTGAGCACCACATTTATTATTTTACATCTGTGTTTTTATCGCTACAGTCTACACATTGGTTCGTTCTCCTTTTATGTCTTTTTTATGAGAACCACTCCAAGCCGAAGCGGAAGGGTGGTGCTACCAATAAAAGCACACAAGCCTTAATACGGAGCCTGTTTTTTGTATACAGGCTCCTTAAAATGTGAGTGTACAGTTTGCTACATACATTATTATTATTTCTGTACTGCAATTCTATATACCATCTGCACTATATTGTATCTTTTTGTATTTTTTTGGCATGTACTTCATATTGTACTATTGGATTAAGTTACGCTTGGTAGGCTCCTCCAAGAGCTCGTGGCAGAGGCATCTTTGCCACAGACACAAATTACGAGTGGCGGGCTGCAGGGAAGACCCCAAATAAGGCGTGATTTACACTTTCTATGGTTGGGACTTCATTATTGGCTAAAACTTGAACAACATCATGCACTTGACAAAGACGGTTTGTCAAAACGTGTTGTGCTTATGCGTCTGTTATGTGTTTTTATGCTGTGGCATCTTTTATTTGTTCGGCTATTATCTATTAAATTTTGTTTGTTGCATCCATTTGGTGAAGTCCTGCATCTTTCCCTACCTGGGGAGCAGACTAACTTTGGGGAGACTGTTAAACCAAATTATATGTAATTCCAGCCAGTGCTTGCTATATGAGGCTCTGTGCAACAATTGACATTGTACATAGCAAGCGGCAATACTACACCATCAGAATATTTTTCCCTTTGCTTTTTTTGTATGGAAATATCAAATTGTTTGTGTTGGCTTTTATTTTCACTCCCCACCTATTTTATATTGAAAATTAGGAAACCTAATTGGAGGGAGCCTCAGAAGACTCCCATTATAGGACCAATCGGAACTTGGTCTAGCCCTATAAAACAAAACACAGGAAGGAGGGAAGTTGGTTTTATTTGTTTGAATTGTTTTTATGGTGAGTTTGTATCTTGAAGAAGTCCAGTTACTGGAAGAAATACATTGAATTGTCATTTTATATTTTATTATTGCAATTTAAGCTTTAATAAATCTACCTTGATACCTACCTGAAGTCACCTGTTTTCAGCACTTAAGTGTGCTCTGAGCTTAAACAGGCTAATGGGAAGAGATAAATATCCAGACCTTGGTCAGTGTCATCTGTAGTGTAATCAGCCTTAATTGCAGAGCTGCATAAACAGTTATAGAGGGTGTACACTGTGTTGTCCTAGCTCCTCCAGTGTCTGAATGTGGCATTGGATAGACATGGAGGAATGAATCACTTCCCAATCTTGAGTTTTAAAACTAATAGAATAATATGGATGGGGCTCTAAATGTGTTATGTGCTTGAGACTTACAACTTATAAGACAATGCATACATTAAAAAAAAAAAAAAACATCAATGCAAACTAGATGTGTATTCAGATATATTTAATGAAGGCTTATGGGTTTATCTAGCTACAATAACTATCCTTATCCAGGACAATAAATCTATGGATGTATTTAGACATGCACTGAGACACATTCTCTAGCTTATTAATGACACAATCCCTGTGTAAATGTATATATTTAATATAGCCCAAAAATATATATATATAATCCACTGTGTTGGTTTTAATTAAATAATTTACTTTACAATCCGGAATACAAAACAACACACACACACACACAACTCCTATTTACAATTATAAGTCATGCATGATCATATAGGTACATATATTTGGAGATCTCCAGGGTGGCTTATATTTCTTCCCCTTCTGTTCTCTTCCCTTCTTTTTGACTAACCCAAATAGCTTCCTAGATATAATCCCATTTGATTAAATGGAACCATTATGATTGGTTGGGGCTTGTGTTTGCAATCTCCCTCCTGGCCTGTGGCTACACAAGACACACCTACCATTTCCCAGGGGTCTCTCTCATATGCCCCTTGGATTGTGCGGACACACTACAGCCATAACACCTGCTATCATGATATGCCTTTGTTTATGGCTGCCCATCCCCTACACAAAAACCTGTATCTTTAACTGTACACATTCTTCCGTACAGCAATCATGCATACTCACATTTTGATATATTTCCCTGCCATATACATAAAGATTATTTACCATAATTAAGGCCTTCAACTTCCCATATTGCAACACCATCTACCCACTAGTAAACGCTCTTACAGGAGTAGTAGGGACATCGCAGAGTGATGCAGATTGGTCAACAATCATGCAGCTTTTCTATCAATCTTAGGAGACTGACTGGTCTACAGAAGACATAGCATGGTGAATACTTTGAAAATAAACCATAAAACTCCACATGCCCTTAACTCCCCTTTTTCCTAGATACAATAAAACCGAAATAACTGCTCTCTATCTGATAATAGCTGCAATTCACCAACAAGGAGTTCCCTCACCCTTGTGAATAAATAAATCAATCCAAAGATGTATATTGTAAAGGAATGCCATCACTGCATGCCATGCCTGTCTAAAACAGTGTCTACAAAAGACAATAAATTCTCCCTGTTACACCCCTTTGTTCCAGCCCCCTTGCTTACCCACCCGGGAGCTACGAGTCCGGACTACTAACTGGTGCTAATTGGTTTGTGCGCGAAGTTTGAATCTACCGGCCTAAACCAAGTGATTCTCTGGAATGGTTTTTGGGTATGTACAGAGCCTCAAGCCCAGACTTTATATGACGATATCTCGGGCTCTGTACACCTGATCGCTTCGCCAATTGCAGGGATCATAGCTGGGACCAGGAGCTATTCTGGAATGTATGGCATGTGGGGGGGGTGTAACTGTATGGTGTTATTTTTGGGGTTTTTGTGTGTTCGGCTTCCTGTGTCTGGGAGATACCATTATCTCCCAGACACAGTGACGTTGGGGTGGGCTTATGTTTTGTATTACTGTAAATGGAGAGCCCCTGCGGGGGTCTGTGCATAAACACTGTGCATCTTGCCTGCAACAAACAGTTCTATTTCACCCTTCACTCAGTCTCGACTAATGTTTGGGTGATACCATGGCTGCCCTCCTGCAAGCGACTAGAATCACTGGCTACCACTCTAAATCACTCTAGGGCCGGGCACAAGGAGGAAGGGCCGACCACAGGCGGTAATAACCCATCCTCGAGAGGGTATATCGCCACATCTGGTGGCCGAAGTGGGATGGTCCCCTTTGTTTGAGCCAGAGTGGAGCAGCGCTAGAAAGGATTGGCGAGGAACTCTGGAAAATGGTCACCCTGAAGACAATCTCCTTATTTATATCAAATAACTAATGTAACTACACATCAACTTTCAAATAAAATAAAGACAAAGTCACACATTTGGAAAAGCGCAAACATTTTTATGAGGTTTCTTGTTTTACATTATTCTATTGTATGCAAACATTATATTTATACAAAATAAATCCCTCAAATATTTTTACAGCCTAAAAATGTAATTTTGTGGCATTATGTACATACAAAATGTTTTCAGGAAAGACTTTGTACAGCAATTTACATTAATACAAGAGAAATTCATATTTACACATTAACTGAATGTTCAAAATCAAGTCAAAGAGCTGCGTGGCATATCAAAGATTTAGTCTGGGAAAAGGAGAATATGTTTAAATTGTTTCTGCATATTGCAAGACCAGTAAATGTACTGCAGGCATGTGAAGTATATACTGGGAATAAATAAATATTAAATAAAGTTATATATATATATATTAGACAAAGAAATTTTAGGGAACCATGAATGGGAAAAAAATATAGGGAAGATGAGAGGTTTTCTAAATTTCAGGTAATAGGACCATGTATGCACTACATACTGTTGACAGAGTCTTCAACATGTTACTCTATTAAGATACTCTTTGCTAAGATGTGTGTATAAATAGATATATCAGACACAGAAATCAGAATCTATCAGGCACAGTCTATGTGGAAATAACTGTCTGCTTGCAGAGTTTTTTGTAAAATGAGTGGGCGTAGAGCAGTACCAGTAACCTCACGCACAAAATGGATCATGTATGTAAATTATATATTACGTAGCAAAATCATAAAGAGAAAGCATCACCATGTTATAAACATACAATCTGCCTGAATTATATAGGGTTATGTAAGAGTAACTCTGGCTCAAAATTCTAAAAGTGGTGCAGTCAGAAGGAGCAGTCTATTGGTTTTCAAGGTGACTTACAACACTTTTAGAACTTTATCACATAATTATTCTTTATACACAACACCCAAAAAGTCTCTTTAAAGATGCATTAGATGTAAGACCACTTCTGTTATTATATAGACAAAGGCTTACAAACATTTAAAATATTTTAAAGAATATTAGTTAAACATTACAGCAATGTGAAAAAGAACATGCATGCTGTCCAGATTTCTAAAACAAATAACAGGTCACATTTGTTCTATTTGGTTTCAGAATTTTACCTAAATCAGAAGCAGGTGAATTTAATGCATCCTTCGCTGGGTTTCTAAGACAAGGTCTCCTCTGTTTGTAAAGTTCACAATTTGTACTGTAGCCCATCTTCAACCACCCCAATCTAGGCTATGAAAAATCATGATGCTTTAGATATTTAAGCATTGGACAACGTTATACTAGAAGATGGCAAAAATTCAGTAATTTTACAAATAATGTGCCTTTGATAAACTTGACTGCCTATAATTAAAAGCATCCACACTTAAAGAATAGGAGAGACAGCAGGGCACAAGGCACATTTCCACATTACCCTTGAATTATGCATAGCACTTTCACATTTGTAATACTAATATTTAGCTTAAGTAAAAGATAGTATAAAGCAGAGCCAGAGTTAAAAGTAGGAAATGTGATGGTACTTCCAGATGTAGGAAAAAGATGGCTAGAATGGATCCATCATGTATCTACAAATTCTATTTGCTAAAGAGCAACCAGTAAGTAATAAGGGGTATTTATAGGTCCAAAACACAGATGAAATACCAAATGGCAACCAAATGTGGACTAGACACTTCTGAACAAAACCAATAACCAAGTACAGTATAATATATATATACAACATCATATGTCTAACAGCATTAACCCAAAATTGAGGAGTTCTAGTTAAAAAAAAAAAAAAATTAAATTGACAGGTACATTACGATGGATTTTACCACGGTCTTATTTATGGGCACTGTTGTATTCTAGAACAGTAAAACAAAGTTTTCTATATGATAAGTTTTAGAAAAGGCATGTGATTCTAATTTCATGAGAAATGAGACCTCATTGCACACATATAACCCTTTCATATAGTTTTGATTTGCCAATAAACAACATTTTAATATAACGTTATGTAATATTGTAATATCGTAAAAACAAAAATATAAAATAGTGGAAATTTTAGGACACATTTTAGAAAATAAATAAGCATATTTTACAAATTTACTCCTATGCTCCCGAACACTTAAACTGATAAGCAATGTCATTAGTATGGGTGATTTTGCAATTATATGTGGCCCACTCTAGATACTACTGACCAAACAATGAACAGCAATGACATGAAAACAAAGTAAGCTAAAGTAAAACCACAAATAGCCAATAGGCAAAATTCTCCAACTTTGATTTATTTATGGCTAGCTAGTTTGAATAAATTTAGTATTCAATTCCATACCACTCAATGAAGGAAAAAAGCTTTATAATCTGACTGTTATCATGACGAAAAAAAAAAAAAAAAAAAGTTTATTTATTACAGGATAACTACATTAAAGAAGCCATACTAGAACACATTGCATGTTTTGTTCTAGTAGCAGTAAAACAAAAAAACACACAAAAGAAACATATCTTGTTCTACTATTTACACATGTCTGTGGATCTTACGAGGAGTATCACTCTAAAAGCCCTTTAGATTTATTAAGCCTTTCATATGTTGCTGGTAAATAAGTTTTAATGTTTATTGCAACAAGAAACCCAACCCAAGGCACAAATTAAAGAGACTCCACTATAGCTACAGTTTAAAAAAGAAGAATATTCATCCTTCAATAGCTAAAACTTGTGTAACCAGGTTATTAATCTATTTGACTGATATATGACTGAGAAGTACGTTTTAACCTAAAAAAAAAAAACTAAACAAAAAAAAAAATGTAAACGTTCAAAGAAAACAAAAAGAGGGTAAACATAGAAATACTCATGAGACCATTGATGTGATATATACATTACAACTAGTGATTTTAGAAAAGGTGAAAATGTAGATTCGACTCGCTATTTTAGATCTGGTCCAAAGAGATGAAACTGTAAAAAAGAGTATATACTTTGACACTTCTCAGCTTTTGGTGTGTTTGCTCTTTTTGAACAACTTCAGCAATTGCTTGAACCTTTCTTCTACCTAAAAAAAAAAATTAAAAATAAACACAATATAAGTAACAAGATAACAATGAAATGGTGCAAACTAGTTTAAATGTGCATAGACAACCTGCACAATTTCAGAAACAATGACAGTATTAAAGGACCACTCTTCACCCAAACGGCACTTCAGCTTGCAGAAGTGCTTTATAGGTAAGGAGTATGCTATTTTAACACCAGTTTATAAAAGTGCCGATTTCTATGAGAAATCAGCATATTTATAATTGAACAAGGGAACAATCTTCTGGCTTTCAGACAGCCAGTGAGATTTGCCTTCTCCTTCTGTTAGTTCCCATGAACAAACAGAAGTGGCAGGCACGCTCTACTTAAAGCGGCACTGTCATGCCGAACTTACCTTTCCTCAATCTCTTCCTCTTCTCCCCCTCTGTCAGGATCTGTTCTTCTTTTCTTCCTGTCTTTAGTTTTCTTTAAAATCATAAGACAAAGTAGGGACTCTTTGCCTTATGGAGGATTCCTCCGCTTGACCAGCTCTGACCAGCGGAGGAGCAAAGTGTGCTTCATTTCCGCTGGTCAGAGCAATTTTCCCATGATTCTCACCTTCCCTCTGTGTTCCCACGATGCTTCCTGTCATTTTAGACGAAACTGCCGAATTGCGTTCTAACTGAATGAGAACAGTATGTTTGTTTCTTTTAGAACGCAATTCGGCACTTTATTCGGATCGGAATTTCATTCTAATGAATGAAACTCCGATCCTATTCATTGCCGCGGCTGCATCTTGCAGCCGCTTAGTAGATAACTCCCTAATTCCCACGGTATCAGGGAGTTATCTACTAAAAGGCTGAAAGACCTAAATTGGTCTTTTAGCCAACTTTACTAATACTAAGTAAAAATTACTTAGTATTAGTAAATTAAATGCCCCTACCCGCTATACCTGCGTGGTGGGTGGGGGCCCTAATAAAACAATAAGGGGGGGGACCTACTGTACTCCCCCCCGGCCCCCACCCCTGAGCGGTGGGTGGGGGCCCTAAATAAAGATATGGGGGGAACTTCTGTCCCCCCCCGGCCCCCACCCCTGCGCGGTGGGTGGGGGCCCTAATAAAACAATAAGGGGGGACCTACTGTCCTCCCCCCGGCCCCCACCCCTGCGCGGTGGGTGGGGGCCCTAATAAAACAATAAGGGGGGGGACCTACTGTCCTCCCCCCTGGCCCCCACCCCTGAGCGGTGGGTGGGGGCCCTAATAAAACAATAAGGGGGGGGGACCTACTGTCCTCCCCCCCCTGGCCCCCACCCCTGAGCGGTGGGTTGGGGCCCTAAATGAAACACCCCCCCAATCAAGGTGACTAGGGGTCCCAAGCCCCTAGTCACCAACCCCCCACCCAAAAAAACCTATCCCCTACCTACCCCCTCACCCTACAAATAGTGAGGGGGGAATAAAATAACTAACCTGTAAAAAAAAAAAAATTAAACTTACCATTTGACGTCTTCTTTTTTCTAAAATCTTCTTTCTTCAGCCCCCAAAAAGGCCAAATAAAAATCCATTATACCCGTCGCACTTTAAAAAAAAAAAACAAGCGCCAAAAAAAATTAATCCATGTTCGCCCTTCGAGGGCACGCCGCGTACTGAGCTCCGCAGGGCGGGTCAAGGCTTATAAAGCCTTGCCCCGCCCTGCAATTAGGCTTAGAACACTCTGATTGGTGGGTTTAAGCCAATCAGTGTGCTCTGAGTCATTTTACACAGCGTGGGAAAATTCAAAAGAACTTTCCCACGCTGTGTAAAATGACACAGAGCACTCTGGGTTTAAGCCAATCAGAATGCTCTGTGTCATTTTACACAGCATGGGAAAGTTATTTTGAATTTTCCCACGCTGCGTAAAATGACTCAGAGCACTCTGATGGGCTTAAACCCACCAATCAGAGTGTTCTAAGCCTAATTGCAGGGCGGGGCAAGGCTTTATAAGCCTTGTCCCACCCTGTGGAGCTCAGTCCGCGGCGTGCCCTCGAAGGGCGAACATGGATTAATTTTTTTTTGTGCTCGTTTTTTTTTTTTTAAAGTGCGACGGGTATAATGGATTTTTATTTGGCCTTTTGGGGGGCTGAAGAAAGAAGATTTTAGAAAAAAAGATGATGTCAAATGGTAAGTTAAATTTTTTTTTTTTTTTTTACAGGTTAGTTATTTTATTCCCCCCTCACTATTTTTAGGGTGAGGGGGGTAGGTAGGGGATAGGTTTTTTTTGGGTGGGGGGTGGGGGGGAGGGGTGACTAGGGGCTTGGGACCCCTAGTCACTTTGATTGGGGAGGGGGGGGTGTTTCATTTAGGGCCCCCACCCACCGCTCAGGGGTGGGGGCCAGGGGGGGAGGACAGTAGGTCCCCCCCCTTATTGTTTTATTAGGGCCCCCACCCACCGCTCAGGGGTGGGGGCCAGGGGGGGAGGACAGTAGGTCCCCCCCCTTATTGTTTTATGGGGCCCCCACCCACCCGCCAGGGGGTCGGGGAGGACAGTAGGTCACCCCCTTATCAGCCCCCACCCACCGCCAGGGCCAGGGGCAGGTCCCCATTTTTTTATTAGAGCCCCCCACCCACCGCGCAAGGGGTGGGGGCCGGGGGGGAGGACAGTAGGTCCCCCCCTATTGTTTTATTAGGGCCCCACCCACTTATTGTCCCCCTTATTGTTTTATTAGGGCCCCCACCCACCGCGCAGGGGTGGGGGCCAGAAGTTCCCCCCCATATCTTTATTTAGGGCCCCCACCCACCGCTCAGGGGTGGGGGCCGGGGGGGAGGACAGTAGGTCCCCCCCTTATTGTTTTATTAGGGCCCCCACCCACCGCTCAGGGGTGGGGGCCAGGACAGTAGGTCCCCCCCCTTATTGTTTTATTAGGGCCCCCACCCACCGCTCAGGGGTGGGGGCCAGGGGAGGACAGTAGGTCCCCCCCCCTTATTGTTTTATTAGGGCCCCCACCCACCGCGCAGGGGTGGGGGCCAGGTACCCCCCATATTTTATTAGGGCCCCCACCCACCGCTCAGGGGTGGGGCCGGGGAGGGACAGTAGGTCCCCCCCCATTATCTTCATGGCCCCCACCCGCCGCTCAGGGTGGGGGAGGACAATAGGTCCGCCCCCCTTATTGTAATTTATGTCATTTTTTTTCAACAGTGAGCAGCCACAGGCTGCTCACTGTTTAGTAGACATGCCCCTACTCGCGGTATAGCCTGGGGGGGGTTTATGAAGTGACGGGGAGCACTACTCCCTGCCGCTTCTATCTTTACATATTACAAGGAGGGAGCTGCACGCTGGTAGCTCCCTCCTTGTAATAAACTGAACGAACAAACTAACACTGATACATTGTGTTTGTTTGTTCGGCTGATCTTTCTATTCATTCGTCTGTCTGATGAATGAATGAATAGCTGAAATTCCCGTTCGCATGTCCAGGTGTTTCACTGGGCATGTGCGGGAATCTCACAGTCTATCTAGTGTGGGCTGATGACGTGTCCCACAGGGACTTCACCTACCCACACAAAGATGGCGGCGCCCTGAATCAAGATCGGGGCAGAAAATAAGGATTACAAAATAGGTAATGTGGGGGGCTTAGGGGCATTTGGGGGTGACTAGTGGGTCAATTGGATGTAGTGGAGGCGGGAGGGGGGTTAAAAAAAAAAAACGAGATTCGGCATGACAGTACCGCTTTAAGTTCGTCTACCTCCTCTCCCACAGACTAGCGTCCTTGGGAACTCCAAAGCTTCCACAGACCTTCGATCAGATGCACGTGCCTACATGCATTAATTCAGAGGCTTCCAACTGAAGTATTAGTCTTTTCCTGGGAAGAAGCTTTTTGCAAGCTATTTTAAGATACACCCCAATGAATACATGGCATGAAAAATGCCATGTATTCATGAGGGTGTATCTTGAGGGATATTCGTGGGGTTATACATACTAAACTGTGCATGTATGTATTCATTGAGGTATACCTACTAAACTGTGATTTGCTTGTTAAAAACAAACACAAAAACACAACAGATGGGAAATACGAAGGCACAATGTAGTAAATATGCATATATTTATTCTCCAAAAAATTGAGATTATTGGGAAACCAAAATTAAAGGACCACTCTAGGCACCCAGATCACTTCAGCTTAATGAGGTGGTCTGTGTGCCTGGTCCAGCTAGGGTTAACCCATTTTTTCATAAACATAGCAGTTTCAGAGAAACTATTTCCTCTAGTGGCTGTCTCACTGACAGCCGCTAGAGACGCTTGCGTGCTTCTCACTGTGATTTTCACAGTGAGAGCACGCCAGCGTCCATAGGAAAGCATTATGAATGCTTTCCTATGTGACCGGCTGAATGCGCGCGCAGCTCTTGCCGCGCGTGCGCATTCAGCCGACGGGGAGGAGAAGAGGCGGAGAGGAGGAGGAGAGCTCTCCGCCCAGCGCTGGAAAAAGGTAAGTGGTCCTTTAATTTAACATTTTAACAAGCTGAGCTGAAAGCAAATTTTTGCCTCCAACTATGCTATTTTAGACAACAATTTGCTTTGAATTCCTTACAAGTCACACTTAAGCAAGTTAATATTACTGTACTCAATTTTATTAAACATTCAAAGCCCTTTTGCATTTCTCATCTGTTAATACTTCGAGTACTCAAACTTTAGAGAATAATTCAGTTATTGATCTAAAACAATATCATGTATTTTTGTGTTCCTCAGATTGTTCCCATTTTAAGCTTTTTTTTTGGAATTCGCCTAATTTTCATAAGAAAAATAAATTACTACTTATTCTTATGAAGGTTGTGATTTTTGGCAATCTTTTAGTGCTCATTTTTCCATATCCTTTAAGTCAAATTTCTTTGATTGACCAGTGTACTTGCTTGTTTCGTGCATCTCCTTTAGAGTCTTTTGTGGTCAACATGTATTTTCTTCATGTATATTTGACTTGTATTTGGGTACTGTCACTGCACATGTGTCACTGTTGAAAGCTACACATATGTATTGTATGCAGTCTGCCCAGCCCTATTGGATCCTAGATTCAGCATTTTTTTCAATTTGTTATTCTGTTCCCATTATTTGCCTTGACATTCACTATTGTTTTAAACACATTTGCTAGTGTTGTTGCTTTACTGCAATTATTTTACGGTCCCCATGGTGAAATAATTTCCACTTTGAACTGCAGTGGTGACATTTTCTAGGTAAGGTTAACTCAACTAACTCATACAGCTTGTTTCAAGTGGAAGGATTGCAACATTAGTCTTTGTAGTAGACAATCTATGGCAGCCCATCTGGCTTTTAAGGACAGGAATTAAATACACCCCATTGGTCAGCATATCCTCAGTCTTTTTCTTTTCCTTTGGCTGTATGGATCTGTTCTCCTGGGGGAGAAGGATAACTTGTACTCTAGGTTTCCTCAGTTAAGACCCCAGTTACCCTTCATAGCAGTGGTATGTTGGGAGCCTAAACGAGCCCTGGTTTTATCTTATCTCTGATACTTGGGAGTCTCCTGTATAACCTTTTCTTATAACCAGTTGATGTACTGCCTCCAGGAGTTTGTTGGTCAAATGTAATGGACTCCTGTTTCGGAGCTCTCGTTTTAGGAGGATCTGCAGACTGTTCCTTTGATTTTGCTTATGCATCTGCGTGATAGGTCCTGTAGTGATAGCCACAATTCCTTTTGTGTACAAACCATTGATTGTTTCCCTGTAAAGGTTACCATCAATTCGGGATCTTCTGGTTCACGGTTGAATCCTGAAACCAGTCCCCAGAAACCCAATATCTCTGCATGGAGACTGAGCGGGAAGCATTAGAAGACCAAGATTTTTCTTCAGCTGATGTGTCTACTCTTATGCAATCAACATCCTCTTCTACTAATAAGACTTACAGGAATTGGTCTGTTCTCTATGACTGGTGTAACCAACATAATGTTGATGTGTCATCACCTTCTGTTTCTGGAGTTCTTACAATCTTATTATTCTCTGAGCTCAGGTGTCTAATATTTTGGCTATGTCTGGATTTAAATGAGTCTTGAACCCGATGGTCTCCAGATTTCTGACATCAGTTAAAAAAAAAAAAAAAAAACAGAGACCTGCTCTTAATGCTTTTAATCCTCAGTAGGATCTTCCTTTGGTCCTTCCTGTCTCGTCCAAAACTCCATTCCAACCCCTTCAGGAAGCGTCTCTTAGTTTACTTACTTTGAAGTGTGTGTGTTTTGGTGGTAATTACCTTGGACAGAAATGTACCAGAGATTCAAGCCTTAATGTCAAGAGTCTTATTTCCTTCTTCCCAGTCAGAGTTGTTCTTTGTCCTCTTCTTGAATTTCATCTGAAGGTGGTGATGTCATTTCACATTAATGAGGATATGGTTCTTCCCACTTTTTCCCCATCTCCTTCTGCTCAAAAGAAACAGGAATGGCATGCGGTCTCTCGATCTATTTGGATAGATATAAGGAATAGAGACATCCTTTTCGTGGTTCCCTCTGACTCCCATAAAGATCAATGTGCTTCTATTTGTCGATGGATTGTAAGGGCGATTTTCAAGACATATGAATACAGATCACAAGTTCCTCAAGGGATACGCCTTTACTCTACTAGAGCTGTGTCGTATTCTTGGGCAAATGCAACCAATACAACTGTGGATAACATTTGTAAAGCAGCCACTTGGTATTCTGCCAATACCTTCACCTTTCATTATACCTTGGATGTTAAAGCTATAAATTGTTTGGTCTTTGACAGAAATGTCATCTTCAGTTTTATCTAAATAAATCACTTTTGTATTATGCTATACTTTGTGCGTTTGTTGAATGTTTATCCTTCCCTTGGATTTAGCGCATCGCGGCGGCCATTTTGCGACTGGCATTTTTGCTGCACTTTTTGTGCCGCTTGCGTCGCTCATTCAAGGAGTGTTCCCCAGGGGCCATTCCTGAGGGAACACTCGGTAAGCTAACATTTATTTTTGCTGCACATTTATACTCTCTGTTCATTACTGGCTCTGAGGTTTCATTTAGACGGGTACTGCCCCCTGTTTGCAAGGAGCACTTCATCATCTGGCTCTGGGTCCGATGCCATCGACCTGGTTTACTAGGTGGACTCTTCCCCCGAATGTGCCGCCAGCTATAGAAGCTAGGCAGGAGGGGGACGAATCCACCATCTTAGACCCTCAAAGGGAACCCCTTTTTGACCCTGATGCCCTGCATATCCCTCGCTCACTGACTGGTACCCCACTGACAATGTGGCCAAATACATCGCAACTAGGGTTAGAAAGCCCCTAGATAAGGCCATGAGGAGTAAACTAAGAGCAGAGTGCACACACCCTACGGGTCCCAGACATGGCCTGTGTTACTCCCGAAGTGGATCCTATGATCGCCCAATTTCTGGGTAAATCTGGTTAGAAGGCCAAAAAGGGACTAGACTAGTCCCTACGACACTGTCAGGACAAAGTCCTGGATGTACTAGGGCCTGTAGCCAAGATACTGAACATGATCGATGCAGCCCTGACTGAGGGGACATCAATAGACCGGTTGACCATCAGAGGATGGATCCAGAGGTGCATATGCCTGATTGGCAACACTAACACCGCGTTCGCCACCGAACGGCGTAAAGCCATACTTATGAAAATCGAGCAAAAACTCCTAAATCTTGCAATATCTGTGCCTGGCACACAGGCAAAAGGTCTCCTGTTCGGAGATGATTTCGTAAAACAACTGGGCAAGTATGTCAGTACCTTCACAGCACTAGACAAATGAGTATAAAATGGGTGTTCTCCCAGAAGGTTTTCAGATGGGCCGGCAGACATTGGGGCTGTCTATCCGGCCGCTCCTCCCGGACTTCGTACCGGGGCTATTGAGGCTCTGCCACAACGGAGGTTCCAACCTCCGGAACCTAGAGTACCTTCACCATTCTTCCAGACAAGGGGCAGGTCGTGGCAACCCCGTGGAACAAGGGGATCCTCCTATGGCCGTCTGCCTTATGGCAAGTTATTTTCCATCACACACCCTTTCTCTATCATATGTGGGGGCAGATTATCCCATTTTCTCGATGCATGGCACAATCTAATATTCCTGGTACCCAAGAAAGGTGGTGGTATGAGATCAGTAATCAATCTTCAACTCCTCAAAGCCTTTGTCATGTACCATCATTTCAAGATGGAATGGATACACTGCATTTGGGACCTCCTCAGACTGGGAGATTGGATGCTCAAACTCGATCTCCAGGACGCGTATCTCACGATTCTGATCACCGAAGAGTGTCAACACTTCCTTAAGTTCCAATGGGAAAAGACTATGTAGCGCTTTCAATGCCTCCCATTCGGCCTGTCCTCAGCCCCCTGTTGTTTCACCAAGTTGCTGAAGCCGGTGGTCGCCCTCCTACACAGCAGAGGTGTCCGTATGATCATATAGCTCGACGACATGCTAATCATGGCCCACGACACCCAGTTACTGAATCAACTCTCTCTTGGGTGTTGTCCCTCCTTCAAAATCTAGGTTTCTTAATCAACTGGGACAAGTCCCACACCATGGAGTTTTTGGGATTCAATATAGATGCAATTCACGGAACGCTCCGTTTACCTACCACAAAAGTGAAACTCATCAAGAAGGAAATCCGGCGGACGCTGGCATGACCGGTCTTGACCTTGCAACAACTCGCAAGGATAATCGCCCTTCACTCAGCCTCCATACAGGCGATTTTCCCAGTACCCCAATGCTTGGGTCAGTCTTATTCCAATTCTGTTCCACTAGATTGCTCAGCAAAAGAAGAACTCGCCTGGTGGCTTCAACACATGGAAGCATGGAACGGCAGGGCAATCTTTCGGAACCACCCCGGATCTCATCATAGAATCCGATGTGGGGGGCGGAGCCAAGCTGCCATGCTGAGAGGTTGCACATGAGACAAGCTCTGCGCAAAAATGCTCTTAATCAGCCAAAATTAGGGCAAAATTAGATGACAGAAGTGAGCACTAAAATGCAGAGCCAAGCGTCAAGTATCCCGACCCAAATCTGAGTCATCTAACCGGGGATAGATCCGAGACCTACTCAGACAAAGCGAGGGAGGCGGCTGATATTCACGTCGCCTGCAGCCACTCACTCTGAGTTCTCCCTGGTACGCTACCCCCTCCCCCCCCCAGCCGGTGAGGGATATCCCGGCATTTAAAGCTTGAGACACAGCGGCAAAACCAAAGCGGGGACAGTCCCACACAGTTGGAACAGCACCAGCAATCACCAGGCCACTGGGACGGAGCTAAGATGGCCGCCCAGCAAGGACCCCAAAAGCGGAGCACATACGCTCAACCAGCCACGCACCCCCTAGGGGAATTTGACTGGCTCTGCGAGAGCCTATGTACTATGCGGTGCGAACGCGGAATGGATTACTGCTGGACAGCGAAACTAGTGGCTACATGGATTCGCCCAGCGACCCGACGGCACCATTATAGGCACCCACCACAGACATCCAGAAAGGCCGCCAGGCTACACAAACAACGCCGTTCTCATAGGCGGGAAACAACGCCATGTTACATGGGCGACCGCACTTGCCCCCACATTAATGAGACCAAGACCACTAAACCAGCCTTCCCCATGCCAGCTACTCACCTGACCCCGTCCCTCCAAGTTACAATCACAAACGGGGGAGCCGCACAGCTGAACACTCCACTGACTGCGGCTGGAGCGGAGTGTCCCAGTCCATGGGCGCCTTCGAGGAGTCAAACGTTGACGGCAAGAGACACGTCCATGTAATGGGCATCGGCTAAAGGGCCTACTTCTGTGCCCCTCAAGTGGACATGCCTCACTTGCATCTGGAGGGCACACTTACAGACATCGCTGTGTGAACTACCCACATCAAGTAACCACAACATTTTTCTTTAGTTGCTGTCGTAAGGACAGAAGGTTACCAGTGACTCTATATCTTATTAGCTAATACCAGCGCGACCTCTATTTATACATATATTGCATCAAAATTAGTGAGCCATGTAGAGATGGCTCCATACTTTCGAAACATTAATATGACAAGCGACATTTTATTATTGTGTTTTAACCTTCATACCTAGCCAGCCTCTCTGAGTTACCAAAATAAGCTCCATAGCTTAGACATGAGGAACTAGCCTGTACTCCCTGGTTACCTATTTTAATCTTACTGTATTTTCACCCAGCATAGCACATTTAAAATTACATTAACAGCATAACCATGCATCGTCAGACACTGCGATAGAAGAGTTTAGCTCAGTTATGTAATTCCATGTCCTAGCCTGCTTTACTTTTATTGTGACTACTGGGCGAAGCTTATCTGTTAGCCAAGAAAAGTAACCTTTTGTTTTTATGAAGCCCAAAAGAAAATCCTGTTTACTTATCTGTTAAAAAAAAAAAAAAAAAGTGTGCAGTACCTCTCTATTACACAAGCCTGTTTAAACGATGTCACCCACTCTACATGTTATTGCTGTTGTGGCACAACAAGCGACTGTATTAACTGAATGCACCACAAAAAAAAAGAATAAAAAAAAAAATAAAAAAAAAAAAAGAATCCGACGTTGTGGGTGTGCGTTGTGGACCCAACTCTAAAGGTGGAAAATGGTCCTCACAGGAAAAGGAGCTTTACATCAATGGCCTGGAACTCCTGGCGGGGTCGTTCGTCCTTCGGAGCCTCCACGGGGGCACGACCAATTGTTCCATCCTACTGCGCATGGACAATATCTCGGCTGTCCGCTACATTAACCACCTGGGTGGCACGAGATCCACGATACTCACGAACCTGGCGAAAGATTTTTGGCACTTCTGCCTGAATCGCAACATATCGGTACAAGTGGAATACCTTCCGGGATTATCCAACATCGTAGCAGATTCCTGTTACTTTACTTCTGTGGTATTTTCTCATTGAATTTTATTGATCTTAATGTCACATTTTCTAACACAATACTTTGTTTCATTCAGGTTCTAGTTGCTCGTACGGCATTAGTACCCTGAATGTTGCTAATTAGAATTGTGATTCATTTGTCTTTATCTATTTAGAACTACGTTTTTAAGAGATAGCTGATGTTGTATTATTAGGTTGCTATTTGTAATTCATTTTATCGAATAGCCACCTTTTGTATTTTATCATTAAATACTTTCTTTTACTATTATCTTATGGACACCTTTTGTTGTTAGGAGCACGCACACCATATTTTTATTTTTTCTGTTTATATTACATGCTTGTGCATTGTGTGAAGCTGCCCGTATATCTAATTATTGTCATTCTTATTTTATTAAAATTTTTGTTGATGACCTATTCATCTTTTTCTATGGCTCCTACAGCTTAAACCTTTACAATGGGTCAATCTGGATCGATTTTCTTCTCTTGGTTGCAATGGAGAATGCTCCCTAGAACACTCTACCAGCGGATCATGTCTTCGCATCTTTTGGAAGTTAGAATCTTGGTCATGTCGAGTCAGTTGTTCATGTTGGTCGCTTATTGTTGACTTTTTCGGCATAATCAAAAAAGAGGGAGTGGCTTCGGTCACATGAGACTACATGGAACAAGGACTGCTCCCATTGGTTGAATATGTTAGATGGTTAACCCTTTAAGGGGTATTTGTTTTGTTTTTATATTAATACCTTAATATCCTTTTGTTGCTGCTGAGGAATAAAGAAAGAGATAAAGCCTAATACTCGCCTCCGTGTCATTAATAAAATCATGACTTTATGTCATGTAATTAGTAAAATCTGGTAATTCCTACCGTATTTAGCTTTAGTAAATCTGAGAATAGTCATTGCAGTCGGAATTCGGTGTGTAAATAACCCTGTGAATCGATAGTAACTGATATTGATGCGCATACCACAAT